ACATAAATCAGCAAGTCAGAGAACTACCATCTGACAGGCAAATGGTTTCTCTGGCTTAAGCAGACATATTCTCTGCAATCTGTGCTTACAAGCACCCACATGCAAGCATGCGTGAGCTAACTGCAGTCAAAGACGGCTGAAACACTTCACTGGTCAGCATAGTGTATTTGTACAGGAAAAGCAGAGACCAGGAGATGGAAAAGGGTGAAGCATGCTGCATTAATGGTTCTGATCTCAAGCCTCTTGAAGACAATGGCAGTTTCTCCACTGACTTCAGTGAGCATTGATAGGGCCTCAGTTGCCTGCCTGCTAGAGCTCTGGATGCTTTATAAATGCAACAGAGAAGTGAAATAAAGGAGATTAGACATAGTGCATCTGTAGATGCAAAAGGGTACCTGTGTGGGCAAGAAGGTATTTGCACAAACTCTTCTTCACATATCTAGTTACCAGCTTTGTATGCACACCTGTCCATTTTGGGGATGCAGTCATTAACTTCCATGGGCGCACACACTTTTCTGCAGTCACAGCAACTGGGACACCCTCCCCCCCACGACTACTCCGGTTCTGGTGTTCCAGACAGGGCAGTGCCTTACCTCCCACTGGGTTTCCTCCAGTGCTGGGGCAAAGTTGGTCTTCTCCTTCTCATAGGATCTCAGCCTGGTCTCCAGCAAGTTTTGCTCCTTCATGAGCTTTTCCAGCTCGTCACGCAGCTGCTGCTTCTCCTGCTGCAGCTGGAACACTTGGAGGTGCAGGACCTGCTGCGTCCGCTGCGTCTTCTGGTTGGTCTGCTTGAGCTTGCTGTTGCACTTCTGCTTCAGCCCGTCCATCTCCTCCTTGCAGCGCCTCTGCTTCTCTTCGTAGACCTGGCAGGAGGTGACTTCTTTCTCTTCAAAGCTGGACTGGAGCTCCTGAAGCTCCCCTTCCCTCTCCAGCAGCTTCTGCTCCAGCTCTTGGATGGTGGACTCGTCGGTGGAGATAGGGGACCGGATGCAGGAGGCTTTCTCTGAGGCGTGGTGAGCAGCTTTCCCAGGGTTGATGATTTTGTTGCCACTGTCTGAAAAGGACATGGCCTTGAGGCTCATCATGTTGCTATCTTGGATGATGGAGCACTGGGTGATGTTGTGGGCTGAGCCTCCAAAGCGGCTGATGGGCCCCACGGGGGTGACCAGGGGATCCAGCTGATAACTGCTGCTGGTACTATGGGTCGGGAGGCTGGACATAGAGTTTCTTCCAGAGTCGGACAAAGCTCCAGAGCACAACGTGGGCTTGAGTTCTTGGTCCTTGGCTTTTTCTGGAGGATGCAGCTGTTGAGAGATGTGACTGCCATTTTCTGGAGAGGAATGGAGGATGGCACCTGACCGGGGGATCACTGGCTTGAAGGCGGTGGGCCTGGAAGCACTCTTCTCTGCACCCTGGAGAGAAGCAAAGATCTTGTTAGTACATTATTAAGGCCGTAGATCACGCTACTCCTTCTCCTTAGAAGCCTTCAGGCTTTCTAATGGCAGCCATGGGGTCCTCAGCAGCTGGGGGGGTCTATGATTCAGAGCATAGCTGCACCCTGTTACTTGACAGATTGTGCAGCTGTGTCTTCAGGGAGAAAGGGGGAAGGCTAAAGGGCGAAAGGGATATCCATACACATCATAGTCAGCTGTCCAGTATCCCAAAGCTGGGGAAAGTGCAGAGTGAGCTTCAGCTCCCCTCCCTTGCTGCCTCCTGAAACAGCAGTGAGGCCTGGCAGCTCAGCCACGCTATCTACTTTGCTCTCCTAGCTCTTCTCCTGTCATTCGCAGCCGTGGCCTGAGCTCTGGAAACATGCAGGGTGAGCACGCTCCAAATCCAGTAACTGCAAAGCATGATTTAGTCAGCTCATTAACAGTAACTGAAACCCAGGGGAGTGATCCCAACAGTACTCTCCACGGGAGAACATAGGGTGGGTGATTCCAGTTCTTTGATAGGGTGAAACCAGAGCACCAAGAGGTTAAGAAACTCATCTGACAGCACAGAACGAGTTAGTGGCAGGGCAGAGAAGTCCCAGACAGTGGGAGTGCTGGCTCTGACATTTCTACCACTCCACCATCCTTCCCTCCCAAATGCAGGAATGGACTTTGGAGGCCTGATTCCCTGCTGCCCTGCACCTTATGCAGCTATAAACTTCAGGGCAGGTGGGTGCCTGCATCTTGTACGTATTTTGTGTTGGTGCAAATAAAAACACGAGAGCAAGGCTGTGACTCCCAGTAGGGTGCCTGCATCTTATACGTACTTTGTGTTGGTGCAAATAAAAACACGAGAGCAAGGCTGTGGCTCCCAGTAGGGTGCCTGCATCTTGTACGTACTTTGCGTTGGTGCAAATAAAAACACGAGAGCAAGGCTGTGGCTCCCAGTAGGGTGCCTGCATCTTGTACGTATTTTGTGTTGGTGCAAATAAGAACACAAAAGCAAGGCTGTGATTCCCAGTGCCCTCATGTCCTCACTAGGTCCCAAAGTCTTAACCTGGGAGATGGGCCTGCCCTGTATGATGAGATAGGAAGGGAATCCCAGGGCTAGTTGTCTCTTCCAGCACAGGGTCTCAGTCTGGAAAGTGCAAAGACACTCTTTTCGACAATACTGTCTGCTTGGATGAGGCGGCAGGTAGCACATGTCCTGCAGGGCTGGGCCTATCCTCTGATTATTTTGATCCCTGAAGCATAATGGGATCCTGTTCCCAAGCCACAAGTGTGCTGCTGTTTCATACAGGATACTGTTCCCCCCCGGCCTGTGTCCCAGTGGGGATCCTTTAGTTTCTCCCAGCCCCTGAAAGACCCCCACAATGAATATCCCAGAAACTGCACAAGCTGCTAAGTTGGTGGAGCGCACACATGCGCACACACATTCATGGAAGTGTTTCAGGGCAGAGGAACGAAACTGTTTGCAAATCGCAGCCTCGTCACAAATAGAAGCAAGGAGTTGCTAGCAATCTGGTTTCTAGCTCCGGCTGCGAGAGCTTTTCCAGATGCTCTCAGCTTCCTTACAGAGTCAGAACATGCTTCTTGTTTAACCGGTGGCTGCTGCCTTCTGAAAAAGCTTCCCACACCCTCCTGTTTGTTTCTAGCTGTACCTTCAGGGCTCTTCGTCGCCACAACAGCCAACGCCTGAGCACCTCTGACTCTATTTACCCCTATTCCCCGTTTTCCTGATGCTTATAGCTGGGAACCTGAAGCCCCGCAGCCCATTTGTCCCGCAAGGTGCATTGCTTGAGCTGCTCTCCGGACAAGTCTCACCCCTGGTCACTCCAGACTCAGACAAGGGCTGGTCCATTGGTGGCAGTCTCAGTTGCATCCTGTCTGTACCAGGAGCCTGCCACAGTAGCTGCGATTAGGGTGAGTCCCCAGGACACAGCAGACCTGAGCCAGGGTGGGAGCGGTCTCAGGGTTACTAACCAGTTCCAGCTGATTGGAAAACGGCATCAGTTTCTGTGGCGTGTGGCTGCCATAGTCCATACCAGTCGCGCCGGCCTGGTCCCCGCTGGACAATGAGGTATAGTCCGTCCGGTGGGTGGCGTGGGCTTTCTGGCTGACCTTGATGTAAAAGAAGTCCTCATTCTTGTTGCCTTTGGAGCTGGACTTGTTGTGGCTGGAGTCCTGGGAGAAGCCGAAGCGCAGAAGCCCGTCTGAGTACCTGTTCAGCTTCTTCAGGTGGGAGGACTTGCGGAGCTTGTACTGGGAAGCCCGGCAGTGCTTGCTGTGGAAGCTGTGGCCAGAGATGAGGCTACTGACGCTCCCCATGACGTCCCTGAGCTGAGGGCATGTAGTGCAGAGAGGAGACCCCAGGTGTTTCTTCGAGGGAGATGTCCTGGCTATGGGTGGAGAGACATTGTGCTGCAGTCATAGCAAAGACCTCGCTGTCCCTGGAAGCTGTGAACCTGGGGGAGGCAAGAGGGAAAGAGAAGAGGATTGCACAAGGCAGCTGAGGGGTGGTGCGGTTTCATGACTACTACTCGACAGGGTCTGCACACTTCAAGGCGGGCTTCCCCGGCCGGTGTTAAGCTCAGCTCAGCTTAGATGATCTAAATCGTCCCTGGAAGTCTTAACATCTGTGTATCTAAGTGACCTGATGAGTGTTTGCATGGTGAAAACACTCACCCCTGGCATTAAGTGGCAAGCTCCACGAAGAGGTCAAGGACTGTGTAAACCCAGCTGACCCTTCCTCTCCAGGTCAGGGCTGCAAGCAGTTTGGCACGCTCATAGTGTCCCAGTCCTTCCCCGCCGCAGAGCTAACAGACTACGTCATGCTCCCACCCACCACGAACAGGGAGAAGCAGCAACACAGGGAAGCCTGCCCCTTCACCCCCATTGCATGATCGTCTTTTTTCCCCCCCACTTCTCTTCCTGTCTCACCTGCAAAGTCTGCTTTGATCACTGAAGTGTTGCCTCTCACTGAGAGCTTCAGGGGAACGACCGTGGTCAAGCTGACCTGCTTTTGGAAATGGAGCATGTTCGTGGGAACTCGGCACACGCAGCCCCTGGCCACCGCTGATGGCCACCACCCCCTCCTGTCCGCCACGCCGAGTCCAGCGAGACGCGTTCGGCTCTTTTAATCTTTCCGCCGAAGCCAGCCTCTTGCTCCCTGATCTCTCTCCAATTTTCCGTGCTCCTCTTAACCTGCCTCAAAGGGATGTTGTGAGGCTTAATTACATTTAATGTCTGCGCGGCACTTAAGAAGACGAGAGGCATTATATATGCACTAAGCATTATTATTATGATTCAGAGGTATGCAGAGCTGTATACTAATTCCCCTTGCTAGAAAAGCAGCTCTTCAGAGCCTCCACGGAGCTGGGCTGCCAATGGCGGGGGTATAATGAAGATGTACCTTCCATCTAGATAATTAAAGGGTTGGGTGGGAAGAAGGGGAGTAGGGACAGGTTGCTGGTAGGCAGAAATTAGAGCATAATCAAAATGAACTAAATTCAGCTTCCATGGGAAGAAGAGAATGGAGGAAAATTGCTTGGTGCCTGAGTCATTCCAACAGGGTGAACAATCGGAAGCAATTCTGCTTCCCACTGCTTGCAAACGAACTCAAAGCTTTTATATTCCCTCTGCCTTGGGTGTTACCACCGCCTGTCTCCCTTCATCTGGCTGCGCATCGGTCCCAGAGCCCTGTCACCTGAATGCGCTTCCTGTAAGCACGCAGGTTTTGCATGGGATACCTGCAGGGGGAAAACTAAGGTCTGGGGAAAACCATATAACACTGCTGCACAAGGCAGCACAGCGAGAGAGAGCTAAGGATTGCAAGCGATATATATTTTGCCTGGGAAAGCGGGGAAGCATTGATTCTCTGTCTGGGATAGCAAAAGGCAGCTTGTGACGAGGGCTGCCCCTGTAAGGGCTTGGAGAAGTCAAGAGAGGTAATGTTAGCCTGAACTCAGGCAGGATAGATGTGCACCTTATCGACTTAACTAAGTCAGGGATTCATAGCCCAAGCTTTCATAAGCAGTGGGCTTATTTCAGCAGATGCTGTCTGATGCTAAATAGCTAATAGCAGTTTAGAGGGCAGGCCCAGCCCAGGTGAGACGGATCTGCTGATTAGGGGTGGATCCCTGTGGAAGATATAAAACAGTTCTCAGCAGAGGAGTGAAGAGAAAGATAGTGGTGGTGGGGGGTTGCTTTTCTGCAGGGAGGTGGGACTGGCTCTCTGCTGTTTTAAAAAAAAAAACAAAACAAAAAAACCTGGCTCTGGGGTTTGCAGGAAGGAGGGCATGGGGCCTTCAGTTACTTTGTCTGGGTGGTTCTTTCATTTTTGGAGAGTAAATTCATTTGGGGAGGCTGGGAGGGAAAAAAGACTCACAACAGAGCTGATGGGCTTGATCCAGGCGGGAGAAGTAGAGCCTAGAATAATACAGCCGTGCTGATGTGCGTGGTGGAGGATGACTAGGAGCAGTGCTTTAGCAACGGTCTTCTTAAGAGACAGGCTCCTAGCCAAGACAAGACCAGCCTGGTCCCAGCCACTTGGCTAGGACAGAGAAGCTTAGCAGGGCTGTGGGTTGTGGACTGCAGTCAATTGGTTTTGATTTTTTTTTTTTTTTTTTTTTGTAAAA